TTGTAGTTCAAGCATAACCTTCCTGCTCTTAAACTCTATACTTCAGCTGATAAGGACAGGTATCCCATATGCCTTCTTCAACACTTTGTCGACCTGTCTCATCACCTTAAGGGACTGGTGGAAGTGCGCACCGAGGTCCCTCTGATTATCAGTATTTCCCAGAGTGCTACTATTCATTATGTATTCCCTTGCCTTGTTTGTCCTGCCCAAGTGCATCACCTCACACTTATTCAGATTAAATTCCATTTGCCTCTGATCAGCTCATCTGATCAGCCCGACTATAACCTCCTGTTACCTAAGGCTATCCTCCTCACTATTTAGCACCCCATCAAGTTTTGTATCATCAGTAAAATTACTGATAAACCCTCCTCCATAATCTAAATTATTTATAAAGTAGAAACAGAAAGGGCCTGAACACTGATCCCTGTGGAACCCACTGGATCCAGACTTCGAGTCATAAAACACCCCTTGACCACCAGCTTCTGCTTCCTGCTAATCAGGAAATTCTGAATTCAATTAGTCAACTTTCCCTGGACTTCATGGGCTCTTACCATCACGATCAGTCTCCCATAAAGAATCTTATTAAAAGGCTTGCTAAAGTCCAAGTAGGCTACATTGAATGCATTACCATCATCTACACACCTGGTTACCTCTTCGCAAATTCAACCAAATTGGTCAGACATGACCACCCTTTAACAAAACCATGCTGAACGTTCTTGATTGCTCCCAGCCTGTCCAAGTTCAGATTAATTCTGTCCCTCAGAATTGCTTCAAATAGCTCATCACTGAGGTTGGATTGACTGGCCTGTACTTTCCTGGCTTATCCCTCACTCCTTCTTGCTCAATGGTACCACATTAGCTGTGCTCCAGTCCTCTGGAACCTCTCTTGTAGCCAGAAAGGAACTGAAAATTACTGCCAATGCCCCTGCTAGTCCCTCCCTTGCCTCACTTAACAGCCTGAGACACATTTCACCCAGCCGTGCAGATTTATTGATTTTTAAGTCTATCAGACCATTCAGAACCTCCTCTCTGTCTATACTAATTTCTTTAAGAATGTTGCTGTCCTTCTCCCTGAATTGTTTATACCAACATTATTCATCTCATTGGTGAACACTGACACAAAATATTCATTTAGAATTCCACCTACATCCTCCAGCTCCATGCACAAAATGCTGCTGTGATCCTTAACGGACACCTAGTTATCCTTGCATACTTAATGTCCTTGTAAAACAACTTTGGATTTTCCTTTATTTTACCTGCCATTATCCCTTTATTTCCTCTTTTTGCTCTCCATTTTTAAATTCCCTTTTCCCCTTCTATAATCCTTTCGGAATTCTGCTGTTGTTTTCAGTTAATCCCTTCTTCAAAAACAAAACGCACTTCCTTAAAAAAATCACAAACCAACCAAACTACCACTTCCATGGTTATCTGATTTCTGTTCCCCAATCAGCAATTCCCTCAAGCTACAGTTGTTAAACCATCCCTCCTCTCTTGAATTTACTGAGATGCTGATTTGTCTCAGTTTGATGATTTGTTTTGTTTTGAATTTTCTTACTCTTGTCCTTACAGTGTCCTCTGGCCCCTTCTGACATTAATTTTTTTGCTCTTTTCTTGTGGACTCCTTTTGCACAATCATAGGAAAACATGTTCAAGTTGGACTGAGTTAGATGCCAGAGTCCCTCAGGGAAATTGATTAACCATTCTGGTTTTTCAACAATCCATTTATATCAATCACTACTCCCTCCCTTTTTTGGGCTGTGTCTTATAATGTTGCTGTTGAAATCAGGCACAGAAACTTAAAAGTTACACTGGGGACAATTTCACTTGGAGCTCCGTGGAATCTGAGCAATCTTTCAAGATGTCCATCATATGGGAGAAGCTAAAAAGCAAACAATGAAAGGAGCTGTGCAGCCTCCACAAGGAGAAGGTGAAGCTATTTTGTAAGACCGACTATCAGCCCATCTGTTCAAAAAGCCACCAAAGCCATGAGCTGTTGCCTCTGGAAGAAGCTACTGAAGAATTTAAGGTGAGAATATAACTCATCAAATAGTGGAACAGAATGTGATTGGAAACACTCAAAAGTCATTGATTTAGATTGAGTGTCTCTTAGTATTTAAAGCAATTCTGTTAATGCATTTATATTTCTTTAATATTCTGTCATTACAAGGGTTGTCATTAGTGTCATTGCTACAGGGAGCAGGAACAGGGATGTTGAAGAGTTAGATTGATGTCAGTCGATTAGCCCTCCAACTGCAAAACCAAACACCTTAATTCAGTATATTTCAGATGTGACGAGGTAATTGTCAACAAATAACTGTTAACCTTTCACCAAAACCTCTTAATCAGCTCAAAGTTGCAAGCAATCAGATAAAATAAACTGCGACCAGGAAACTGAAACAGGTTCAATCCTCTGGGTATTTTCTGCCCAGACAGAGTCAAGAGTTAACAGGAAAATGCTTTGGAAGTTTAATGAAGGAGAAGTGATGCCATTTGAAGTCTGTAAGAATACACCATGACCCAAATGAACAAAAAAGCAAAAAAAAACTCTTCCCATTTTAGAGAGGTGCAATGTTCAAAACTCAAATTGGTTAATAAAATTGCCACCTCTGTCAATGAGCATCATCAGATGAAGCAAAGAATAGTCCAGGGATGTAAAGGGTTATTTAAAAATAAAAGAGAAAGAAGCCAGACTAATTCCTGGGATGGAGAGACTGGATTGGTTAGGACTATACTGATTGGAGTTTAGATGAATGAGTGACAGGGGTTCTCAAAGAAACTATAATTTTCTGACAAGGTTAAACACAAGAATGATATTCCTGATGACTGGGCAGCCCAGAACCAGGGGTCACAGTTTAAGGATATGGGGTAAACTATTTAGGACTGAGATGAGGACAAATTTCTTTAGCCATAGAGTGGTGAGCCACAGAAAGCGGTTGAGGTCAAAATGTTGAATATTGTCAAGAAGGAGGTAGATATACTTCATAGAGCTAAAAGTGTCGGGAGAAAGTGGGAAAAGGTGCTGAGGTGGATAAATGGCCCACTCCTGTTCGTATGTTCTATGTTTCTATGAAACATTTAAAAAGAGATAACAGATAGAAATAAAATTAAATGATTGAAGTAAAATATCAACAGCATAAAGGGACAACAGAAGAAATAGAAAGAGAAATAGTTGAGAATGTTTCCAGAAGGCATCAGCTTATTGTGTAATTGTGAAATAGTGATAAAGGTGAAAGACAGGGACATTAGAGAGGTGGAGAGATATGAATCTGTACTTGTTAGTCCAAAGCTTAAACAGGATTCCTGACTTTAGAGATATGGGAAATTGCAATGGATGAGAAGGTGACTCTTTGAGGGTAAGTGAATCAACTAGATTCAGTCAGTGATAAGGCCAGATAGCCTCTGACCCTGAGAAGGAATCTTCAACACCTCTTATCTGAAGATGAGTACAATCTGCAACACATTTTCACTGAGGGACAGAAATTGAAGAAAGCCAATTATGTGGGACGGCTGGATGGAATGAGGTTGTTGGAAGAAACTCAAGGGATTAAATTAATAATTACATTCCAAAATCAATACTTCTGAGGAATTTGTTAATGGAACAATCTAATCAGCCTGCAGCTATTGGTGTAGCTTTGGAAATATTCAGGGTGTGAAAATAAGTCATATTTTGAAGACAGAGTTTATTGGCTCATCTTCCCCAATTCCTGGGTTTATATTCAGATAAGTAAGAAAAAAATGTCATTTCACTTAACTAAAACAAAGAGCTGCAGATGCTGGAGATCTGAAACAAGCACAAACAGAAATTGTTGAAGAATCTCAGGAGGTCTGGCAGCATCTTGAGTGAGAAAGAGTTAACATTTTGAGTCCAGTATAATATTGCTGGAACATTAACTCTGTTTCTCTATCCACAGATTCTGCCAGACCTGTTGAGACCCTCCAGCACTTTTTATTCTTATTTCAGATTTCCAGCATCCTCAGTATTTTGCTTTTATTTAGGTTAGATCATTCATCAGACTTGTTCCGGAATGGAAGGACTGTCCTTTGAAGGGAGTTTGGGAAAACTGGGCCGAAGGGCCTGTACTGCGCTGTAATGTTCTATGTTCTATGTTCTATGTGTTCTCTAGAGTTTTGAAGAATGAGAGGTGATTTCATTGAAATTTACAAAGCACTGAAAGAGATAGAGGGGGTAAAGTGTTTCCCCTGGTTGGGCAGCCTAGAACCAGGAACGTAGTTAAAAACAAGGGAGATAACACTTCAATCCAAAATGAGAAGAACTTTTCTTTTTACTCAGAGGGTTGTGAACCTTTGGAATCTCTCCTACAGAGGGCTGTGGAAGATCAGTCTTTGAGTCTGTTTAAAATTGATATATTTCTGATTACTTTGGTAGACAGGGTTATGGGGATGGTACGGATAAAAGGCATTGAAATGTTCGATCAGCCATGATTGTCTTAAAGGATAGGCTATATGGCTTATTCCTGTTCTTATTTTCCTAAAAGGTTTGACAGCTCTCTCTAGTACTTCAAGTCAAATTTAATGAAAATATGAAGTTGTTATAATTTAATTTATGTAATTGGATCTTTGTAATGGAAAGGAAACTAAGTGAGTTCCACATAGGGAAAGGACTAGGCCATTTAGCCCCTCAAACATGTTATGTATTTAATGAGATCATGGCTAAAGAAAACAAACAAACTCAGTTTTGAAATTTTCATTGACTGTATCCTATTGCTTTAGCAATCCTTTAATGGGGTGAAAGCTTTCTTCCTCAACAGTCTTGCTCTAACTTTAAGGTTATGCCCCCTTACTTACAACATCCACTACCAGAAAATATCATTTCTCTCCATCCACCCTGTCATATCCATGATCAACTTAAAACACCTCAGATGGTTTCACCTTAATCTTCCATTGAAATGAAAACTGAGAATTATTGTTACTAAATTATGTTTAATCTGTGAGTGTTTGTGGTACAAAAGTGTACAAATTAATCAGTGTATTTTGATCAGGAGGAACTGCGAAGCTTACTGAAGCCAGGCCAGGACAAGAAGAAAGAATGTGATGCTGTAAAAAATGACTATAAAAGAACATTAAACCACATTCAGGTATTTTTTTTTATGTTTTCATCACTTTTTGTTTTTCTTTGAACTGCTATATGTTTATCACCAAAATAAAATCTCACTTTCTCCAAACACTAACTTATCACAGATGCATTCCAGGTATGAATGAGGGCCAAGTGAACAAAATATTCAGCAGCTGAATCTGCAAATTGAGCCTCTTTTTGATGGAATGATCATTTTGTCTTTATTAACTAGGCATTGGCCTGGTGGTATTATGCTAGACTGTTAATCCAGAAACACAGCTAATTTTCTGGGGTAACAAAAACAAAGTTGCTGTAAAAGCTCAGCAGGTCTGGCAGCATCTGTGCAGGAAAAAACAGAGTTAACGTTTTGGGTCCAGTGACCCTTCCTCAAGGAAATGAAACGTTAACTCTGTTTTTTCCTGCACAGATGCTGCCAGACCTGCTGAGCTTTTACAGCAACTTTGTTTTTGTTCCTGATTTACAGCATCCGCAGTTTTTTCGGGTTTTTATCCGTGTTCTGGGGTCCTGGGTTCAAGTCCTACCATGGCAGACAGTGAAATTTGAATTCAATAAAAATCTGGAAATAAGAATCTAATATGACCATGGATCCATTTTCAATTGTTGGATAAACCTATATGGTTCACTACAGTCCTTTAGAGAAGGAAACTGCCATCGTTACCTGGTCTGGTCTACATGTGACTCCAGGCCTACAACAATGTGTTGATTCTTGACTGCCCTCTGGGATAGTTTATATTTACTGGCCTAACCAGTGATGGCCTCATCCTGAGAATGAATTTTAAAAAAAACTAGATTTCACATCCTGAGGGAATATTTTTCTCTCTCATATTCTTAGAAACAGAATTGCACAGCTTTTTGAAAAAAAATGCTCATTTTCCTCTCAACTTCACCTTTGTTCTCAAAGGACCAAGGTGTAAAGACAGAGAAACAGATTAAAGCTGAATTTGAAAAACTTTACCAGTTTTTCCATGAGGAAGAGAGGATTGTGTTGGAAGATCTGAAACTGGAGAAAGAGGAAAAGAGTCAGGAGATGAAGGAGAGAATTGAGAAGATAACGGAGGAAATCTCATCACTTTCAGCCAGTGTTCAGCATATTGAACAAGAGCTGAGGGAACAGGACAGTACCAAGTTCCTAATGGTAAGCTGTTTATTTGTCTTTGTACTTTCTTTGACACCATCCTTGAGACTGTGCAGGCCACGCTGTCAAAACCAAGGAGACTGCATCCTATTTTACAGCACAAAATAACATTCAGTCAGGTCAATGTTAACTCAGAACTGGAAGTCACATCATTAACATTGCTTTTCTCTTACCACAGACATTACATGACTTACCAAGTATTTCCAGCCGCTTTTATTTTGGATAACCAGTTTTCTGCTGTGCATTGCTTATATTATTGTGTGCACAATTTGGATGCTGGAATCAAAGGGATGATTTCAACATTCACAATTTGGTCAGTAAAGCTAATATAGAAGAAAATTGCACTGAACTACATGTCCGATGTTAATGATCTTTGGTAGGAGGAATAAGAGACCAAATATTCCTCAGAAAGTAAGACCAGAACTTTCATGTTGGAGGTGGGAAGTCAAAGCCAACAAATGGATGTTCAGGAAATCAAGGGATTATGGGATAGCATGGGATGATGGAATTGAGGAAGAACATCTTTTATCTAATTCAATGGTGGAGCCAGTTTTATGGGCCAAATGGCCGACTCCAGCTCCTATTTCTCAAACTATTTTATCTGGAGGGGTATATGTGTAGTAATTTAATCTGGCGTAACCAAGGTTCCAAAGAAGTTTAATAGGACTTCCCTACTTCGCAACTTTACCTCCCCAAGTATGCCTTTTTATTGCCTTATTAGACTGGGTTCCTCAACCTCATTTAGATTCATAAAATTCACAAGCAGTTAAGTGAGGACATTTTCCCCCATCAATTATAAATGGTCAATCACTTAAGCAAGGTTGTACAGAGGCAAAGTGCTGCAGTTACAGCACTGGAAGGATGTAATCTCACGTAACAATATTTTCAGCAAGTTAATGTATCTCAGGGAACACCAGGATCACAGTTCTCCAGGGTAAAGACATTGTGGGACATCAGGCAGCAGGAGAGGTACCTGCACACTCTTACCCAGGGAGCAGTCAGGTTGGACATTGGTGCTGGTTCATGGTCAGGGATGTGAGGATGTGATTGTGAGTCAGGGAACATACAGGGATGTCCCCCCAGGTTCTGGACAATCCCTTGGCCTTCGCTATTATCCAACAAGCACAGGTTTCCTGTTATCTGTCTGGAGGAGGACAAGGTCTGTGGAGTGAATGAGTAAACTGATGATACGAAGCTGGTCGTGTGTGGTGGTGGAGGGAGAACAATCTCGTTTTTTTTATATTCACTCACAGGATGAGGGTGTCTCTGGCTGGGACAACATTTACTGCCCATCCATAATTGCCCAGAGGGCAGTTAATAGTCAACCACATTGCTGTGAGTTTGGAGTCACATGTAGATCAGACCAGGTAAGGATGGCAGTTTCCTTTCCTAAAGGACATTAGTGAAACAGATGGGTTTTTTTTTCTGACAATTGACAATAGTTTATGGTCATCACTGGACCATTAATTCCAGTTTATTTTTTGAATTCAAATTCCACCATGGCAGGATTTGAACCCAGTTGCCCAGAACAATAGCTGAGTTTCTAAATTAATTGTCTCGCGATAATACCACTAGGCCATTGCCTCCTGTTAGTCACCATTAGATACATAGATACTGTTCTCTGCAGCCGAGACTGAGAGAATCCCAGGTGTCCTTTTCCCTGTTCAGTACTAGGGGTAAGGACATGTCTCTTGTGCAGTGGATGAACTCTGACAGAGGAGAAGGATGCAGTTGACATGGTCCATGTCAAACTCAGAAGGGACCAGCGGTGAAGTTCTGCTGGCAGACTTTCAGGAACTAGAAACAGAAATAAAATGCAAACCCTCTTAGATAATCATCTCTGGAATGTTCCCTTAGTAATGCATAAATTGTCAGAGGGATGTATAAAAGAGAACATTGAATGCTTGTTGACTGAGTAATGTGTGAGATGGAAGTATTAAGGGATGGTCCTTTAGCATTGCTACTAGTGATAGAATGCCTTTAGCTTTTGTGTTTTATACATTTTCCCTCATGTTGCCTTAGTTACCAATAGCCTCTGTGAAGCTCTGTGTTCCATCATGAACAAAGTGGCTCATATTTAGCTAGACTGCTGCTCAACAGCCTTGACTTTTCTCTTTGTGCTGTTGGACTGAACCTCTCTTGCTCCCACCATTTCATTGATAAAGAACATCTACAGGCAATACAGAGGGCATTCAGAAATGAATGATGAGAATGATACCACAAAGGAGAGGGGAAGCTGATTGGGAAGGATTTAACAGACTGGGTCAGCTCATAAAGAGAAGACTGGGACGCAGTCTGATAGAGATCTTTAAGATCTTTCAGGATTTGATTGGATAGATAAAGAAAAGATGTTGCTGCTTGTGAAAAAGACTGGATTTTGGGTTGATAAATACAAGATAATGACAAACAAATCTAGTGATAATTCAAGAAGAAACTCAGTTCCGCGGTGTGAGATCAGAATGTGAAATTCTTTACCACATAATAACTGAGGTAAAGATTACAGATACATTCGGGTAGAAGCTAGATTAGCAGATAAGGGAGACACAGGACAGGACAATGTACTGTTGATGTTAGGTCAGGAAGAGTGAGAGAAGGTTCATGTGGAGTAGTTCTCAGTGTCACTGAGTCAAAATCCTAACAATCCCTCCTTAACAATGTTGCAGGTCCAACTACAGGATATGGACTGCAGCAGTTCAAGAAGGCAGCTCACCACCTCCTTCTCAAGGGGCAACTGGGGATGGGCAATAAATGCTGGGGCCATCAGCAATGCCCACATTTCACGAGTGAGTAAAGATAAAATAAAAAGCGGAGACACCTGAATGGATGAGCTGGCCTGAATGGCCTGCTTGTTTGCTGTAATTACTCTGTAGCCATGAGTAATCCAATTGGAATGTAGCTCTGTGACCTCTGTCATACATTAGGATTGAAGAATTTGTATTATGTTCACAGTGCAGTGAGGATTGGGCTAGACCTGTTCTTGTAGTTTACACAGCACTACACAGGACATACAGCACACAAACAGGCAATCTGTCCCATTGGCTTCCCCTGGCATTTATGCTCCAATCAAACCTGCTCTCATTTTTCCTGGGCTGTCTCTGCCAGCACTATACCCTTTACCCTTGTGTTCATTTTGTTTACTTTGAAACTTGATTCACCTCAAGCACTCCAGTCCAAAGTTGTGCAGGCTAGGTGGATTGGCTGTGCTAAATTGTCCATAGTGCCCAAGGATGTTTAGGTTAGGTGGCTTAGACATGGGATAGAAGAATGGGGCTGGGTGGGCTGCTCTTCGGAGGGGCAGTGTGGACATGTTGGGCTTAATGGCCTGTTTCCATACTGTAGGGATTCTATGATACCCACTCATTGCACCAGGGGGTTCCTGATTCTCACCATTCTCTGGGCAACAAATCATTTCTGGAATTCCCAATTGGATTTCTTGGTAACTCCCTCATCATGATGACCTTCTTCCTCCGTACTTAATGAAATGCAGCCTCTGAGTTTACAAATTTAAAAAGTTGCATTATTTTAACTAATTCTTTGATCGTTTAGGTCAGGTTGCAGTTGTCTCTTGCCCTATGAACCTTATCCTATTTATGCTTCAGTACAACCTTGCACTTTTAGGACCATCTTACCTTTGAAATGGCGGGTTTGTGTCTCAGCCAATTCTGTCCCTGAGCTGCAGGGACACCATTTGGTCAGGTCCAAGGTGTGACAGGTATTTGGATCTCTCCCTGAAGCCGAGCTGATTTCTCACCGCATCTTACCAAACTCTTCCGTACCTACACCAGCCCTAAACCCCACCTCTTCCTCCGTTACATTGATGACTGTATCGGCGCCGCCTCGTGCTCCCACGAGGAGCTCGAACAGTTCATACACTTCACTAACACCTTCCACCCCAACCTTAAGTTTACCTGGACCATCTCTAACACCTCTCTCCCCTTCCTGGACCTCTCTGTCTCCATATCGGGCAACCACCTCGAAACCGATATTCATTTCAAGCCCACCGACTCCCACAGCTACCTAGAATACTCCTCCTCCCACCCACCTTCCTGCAAAAATGCTATCCCCTATTCCCAATTCCTTCGCCTCCGCCGCATCTGCTCCCAGGATGAGGCATTCCACTCCCGTACATCTCAGTTGTCCTCGTTTTTCAAGGACCGTAACTTCCCCTCCTCGGTGGTCGAGAACGCCCTCAACCGTGTCTCCCACATCTCCCGCACCTCATCCCTCACACCCCGTCCACGCAATAAGAACCAAAAAAGAATCCCCCTCGTCCTCACGTACCACCCCACCAACCTCCGGATCCAACGCATCATCCTCCGACACTTCCGCCATCTGCAATCCGACCCCACCACCAAAGACATCTTTCCCTCCCCACC